AACTAATTTAATCAAACATGTCTTAATCACACCACATGAATAAAAAGCAGAATGGAAAACAACCTAGAGGATGCTAACGGAGAATGACTTTGCGAATATGAGAGAAATCATGATGATTGCATAGAGGTGACTGCTGTTGCCTCCATATTTGAAGGGGAGACAGTCGTATCGTGGAAGTTTCAATGGTGGATCTCCGGTGACGTTGTTGTTCTGTTGAAATGGAGGGCTCTCATCGATGTTTGCACCGACTGAGTTCTGTGTGCAATTTTCACTGCCGGTTTCTAGATTCGTCAGATCTTGTGGTGGCGTCGATGAAGGAAGATTAAATGTGGGATGGCTGCATCGGTGGAGGTCTCTGTTCAGATTGTGATGTTTTATTATAATGTTATTTTCCAGGTTGTTTATTAAGACCGACAGGTTTCTGGCCGAGCTGCTTCCTCTTCCCGTTTCTTTGATTTGTGATATCGTTCGTTTTTTCTATTTGTTGGTAGTGATTGGATAAAGTAGAAATCAAAGCTCATTAGAGATAAAATTCATAAACTCATTGTACGTTTTGAAAAAGTAATTTCGTTTGATGCACATGAAAGTTTTGAAATCGAAGTTTGAATAGAAATGGATGATTAGAGATAGAGACTCGAAGAAGTGGTTAGTAATAATTTTAACAAACACGGGAGTCAGTTTAATGCAAATTTTTCCGAGTATACTTTCATAGTTATCCTTGCTTCAATTAGGAATTTTGAAGGTTGTAACGTGGCCTGATTCACGGTTTAAGAAACAAAAGATATAAGGCTCAAAATTTATTTATCCCACCCCATTCTCCTTGCGTTCTCCAATCCTAATTTCAATTAATACAACAGATGCGTTCAATCTCCAAAAGAAACTTTGTAGTCACGCAGATGATGAGAACCGTAGATAAAGCTCAAGCGTTGATGAGAAGCATTGATAAAATCCAAGCATTGATGAGAAGCATTGATAAAATCCAAGCATTGATGAGAAGCCTTGACGATTTTTGATGTGGCAGTCACAAAATTGCTCTCCAATTTCATTTTCAATCCCTTTTTGCATGGATAAATCCTTTTGAATTTGCGGTCCATCAGGATGCCCTACCTTTTTCCTAAGTCAAGTTTTTCTTTTGATTTTTACTTGACTTAGCGGGCTTTATTATTTTTTCTTTTGAATTTCTTTTTGCTTTTAGATTTTGACACTTGTGACTATCATGTTGATTGTTGTAAGCTTCGTCTTCATCGTTTCCTCGATCTTGATTGATGCACTGAGGAAGAAGACGTCGCGGACATTGTCTTTTTTGATTCCTCAATCTTGGATGATGAATGCGAGGAAAAGGATACATTTTGAAACTTTTCTTAGATTGTTTCCTTAATGATGTATCAATGAAAGAGATATTCTTGAACCTTTTCTTTAGATAAATCACTTCTCTTGAGAATAGAATGCGCCATTGAATTAATTGAAAGACTACCCTGCCCCTGGTTAAGTTTAAGGTTTTTATATATTTAAAAATAGAATAAAACTCCAACTCCTGGCTCGAGGGGGTTGACTATGAATTAACTCCTTATTTCTCTTATGTTTAGGAATTGAAAGAATGCCTTACATTGTCAGCTCAGTCTTACCATTGAAACCATATTTTAGCAAAATTCAGTTATTTAATTTACATCATTCTCCCTCAAAGTTTGTTAAAGAAAATTAGAAAACAGAAAAGAAGAGTGGAAATGGAAAGTAATGAAAAATGAAGAGTGAAACAAATGAATTGATTTAAAAAAACATGCATGATTATTCTATTAGAATTACTGATCCAAAGATACAAATTTACACCAAATGAAACTTAGCAACAAGAAAATTACAATTTGTAACCGATAAAGTCTAATGATCAAAGTGAAGAGCTCCTTTGTTGATCCACGTGACTTTAGGAGATGCTTCATAGTTTTTGGACTTGTCAAAGCATGGGAATGACCCTTGACTTCTCTTCATGCATACCAATCTTGTTGATAGGGCAATAGGAGAATCACCAATGAAAGTTGAAACTGAGGCGTTACATAGGCTTGTATAGTGAAGGGCTGCCTTATCTTCACAATAAGATTTGTAGGACCAAGCTCCTTTGAATCTCCAACGCTTGACCTTTCCTTCACCAATCTAATATTTTTTTTGAAATGCTTGTACTTTGTTCTTGAGCATTAGGAAATTTGTTAGCCGAATTGATAGTGACCAAGGGAGAATATGGAAATCCATGACATGCAAATGTATGAATGTACAAAAATGCATGGGTATGCAAATTTTTTTTCTTCGGTTTTGGGTATGCAAAAAAAGTTACATGGATATGCAATGTGATGCAGACGTAGTATGAGGGTAGCCGTAGGGATACCCTATATACATGTTTAATGGTAGATATGGAAATGATGATGTCCTACACTGACTCAGAGATTAAGACAGGCAAGAACTCCTTAAGGATGTTAATAATAGATACGGGAATGAGGATACCCTATATTGACTCAGAGATTGAGATAGATAGGAACTCCTTAAGGATAAAGAAAGACGAAGAAGAACCCTTACAGGCTAGGGATTATAACAGAGGGACGAGAATTCTTACAGGCTAGGAATTGTGATATACCAACAAATGGTTGAGATGAAGGATAAACTAGAGGGAATAGCATGGAAGAGAGCACATGGTGACCATTCAACAGTCACCAAATCCCATGGCCTGATATAGGCCACATGGCGTGCATTAGCGAGGATGTCTTCTGCGAGAAGATGAACAAGATCCTATAAGAGCTCTAAGGATAATGTCGGACGAAAGGGGATCACTACCAACTAGGGATTAAGATTTTCAAAATAAAATCCCTACTGGCTAGGGGTTATATCATAAAAAGACATAATCCCTACGGGCTAAAGATAGTAGTGGAAGAAAAGATAACTCTTGCGAGTGTAGGGATTATAGTGGGGTTTGTGAAAGGTATCCTTAGTTGATAGGTTCATAATATTCTCCTAAAGATATTCTACCCTCCCCATAAGGTGGTTTCCTTAAGGGTATCATGGATAACACTAGAGGGAAAGGCACAAGAGCCTCCCTTAAGTGGAACCTCTTTGCAGACCAAACTTTCACCTCTAGGTCATGAAAGGTCTCGTCATAAGATTTTGGTTTAAGGGTTGTACAAAGAGTCATAGGTTTCATTCCAAAGTCCTACTTACCAAGAGGATATCTCTTGAGACATATTCCTTTCATGGAATTCCATCGACTCTAGGCGAAGTCGTCACATAAACTCATATGGAGGATGTATCCCTTTGGCTAATAGACGAAACTTCTTTCTAAGGGTTTTTGAAAATATTTTTTGCAAGATTTAAATCCCAACATAGATGAATAAATATGATTAATAAAAATAATAAGCAGAAATAAGTAAATAATTAAATAAGTAAATATAAAAACCTAAAAGAAAAAAAACCCTAAAAAACCCTAAAACCAAAAGACCATGCTTCTAAACCTAGGGTTGAGTCCCCAACAGAGTCGCCAACTGTTGTAACTGGTTTTAAAATTTGAGAGTCGCCACCCTTAATTTTTATCCTAAGGAAGGGAATATAAAGGATAACCCTAAAAGTTATAGATTCTAGGTTTTTTGGACTCGGTTCTAGATGAAGGGAAGGTGTTAGGAACCCCTAATCTACCTTGTTCACCAGGATACTAGGGTTAGAAGCGCGATCTTAGGAAATAGGGTTTTAATTTTTATTAGGGGAACTCACCACGATTTTATTCGTATGCTTACGTATCCTCTTTTAAGGAATCAGTGTCCCAATTCATAGTTCACAGTTTGGTTGGTGTTTTTTTATAGGATTACATAGAATTGATTTTAAATTATCCTTGAACCTTGTATGGGTTGAAAATTGTGTGAGCGTAGACGTAGTTCGCAGTTAATTTGAAAATAATTCTCCTTAATCTTTTTTTCAAAAATATCTCGTGGTTTTGATTAAGTTATTAAAAAAATGATTTGATCGTTGGTTAGTGGTTTTGAATTTTGAATTGATGATGCGTATGGTAGGGCATAGAGCGAGGGAGTCTGATATAATCTCCTCATCACCTGACAAAATATTTACCATGCATTTCTCGTCATGGAGGATGTAGAGGGAATCTGATAAAGTTTTCCTCATCACGTGGCCAAATATTGGCCACGTGTCGTCCACTAGTGAGTTGCGTGGTTTTTAATATCTTGGTAAAATATTGAATTAACTTAATTTAAGAAAAAGGTTTGAATTAATTAGAAAATATATTTAACTAAATAATTCAATAAAATATATTTTTTATTTTGAATAACTAATCGGTAAATGTTAAGTCTACCACTAATTACTCGAGGATGTGAAATTCGATTACTGGTAATATGTCGAAATTAAATATTTTTTGTATTTTTATAATGATATACTTTTTTTAGAGAAATTAAATAAATAAATAAATAAAAGAAATAACTAAATTACAGGTGGTGCTAAATTAACAAGGGGTGTCGCTATTAGATCAATATATGGCCTAAGGCCCATTTCAATATTTGTTAAAGTTAATCATAAAAACTAAAAATAAACTAATAATAATAGAAATAATATAAGTAACAATAGAACAGAGAGAAAAATTATTGATCCCAAATTATCTCTTCCTCCCTCACAGTATTCCTTCTTCTACCTTCATAATCCCTCTTTTCAATTTCTTTCCAAACAAAACCAACACCCATAAAACTCATACACAAACTCATTTAATCAAACATGTCTTAAGCAAACCACATGAATAAAAAGCATAATGAAAAAAAAAACCAGAGGATGTTAACGGAGAATGACTTTGCGAATATGAGCGGAATCATGATGATTGCGCAGAGGAGGTTGCGGTTATCTCTAGATTTAAAGGGGAGACGGTCGATCGTGGCGGTTTCGAAGGTGGATCTCCGGTGACGTTGTTGTTCTTTGTGAAATGGAGGGCTCTCATCGACATTTGTACCGGCTGAGTTGTGTGTGCAATTTTATTCGTTGGACTCCAGATTTGTTGGATCTTGTGGTGGCGTCGACGAAGGCCGATTGAAGGTGGGATGGATGCATCGATGTAGGGCTCTGTTCAACTTGTGATGTTTTATTATGATGTTATTTTCCAGGTTGTTTATTAAGACCGACAGGTTTGTGGCCAAGCTGCTTCCTCTTCCTGTTTCTTTGATTTGTGATATCGTTTGTTTTTCTCTCTCTTTGTTGGTAGTGTGATTGGATAAAGTAGAAATCAAAGCTCACTAGAGATAAAATTCATAAACTCTGCAATTTGTTAGTTGGAAGTAGATACAATATATGAATATTAGAGTAATAATGATATATGAGTTTTGCAACACAAATTAATTTCAAGAACTAATTGGTTAATTTTTTCTAAGAACTAAATTAGGGATATCCTGTATATTTACCAAGATAATACTAATAACAAACATCATGAGTTGTAATCACATATAAGTTAGGAAAATGTTAACATAAACAAAAAAAGTAGCGATAATTCATATATTTACATGAATCTATTATGATGTTTATAAGTAAACTGAGCCAAAACAAAAAGCATAAATTCTCCATAATTGTGTACAAATTTGGACGGTGTGTATTGAATGTTTATGGTCTGTGTGCAATTGTGAATTGAGAGAATAGCTAGTTTTGCCAAGAAATAATTTTTGAAAACAACTAGACGATCAGATCATCATCATATGGTTAAAATAACAAACTAATTAAAAAAATAGAATTGAAAATTAGAGAGAGGCCTCATATGAAATCATTGTCCAAAACAAAAATATCTCCAACAATATTAAAAAGATAATTTTGAAAGAAGAAGAAATTTGCAAAAATAAATGAAGTGTGTGTGAATGAGTGAAATTGTGAGAGATTGTAAAATTGTGGATGAATTTTTAGGACAAATAAGAGTCCTATTTATAGACTTGAATTAGGTTAGAAAAACTTAGAGACTAAGTTATCTAAAATGTATGAAAAGCTCAAACTCGATTTCCAAAAAATGAAAGAAAATTAGTAACAAAAAGAAATAGAAAAAATGTTAAAAAGTGCACCGTAAGAGATTTGAATCCGCGACCTCATATTTGCAAGCTTCATTCTTTACCAACTGTGTTATGTTACTTATTCGAAATAAAGAGCCAATTGTAAATACATGAAGACGGGCAAACATTCGTTATTTAAAAATACAAATAATTTGAAATAAATTATTATATTTTTAACTGGACTTGTGAACGAATATTTATAAAACCCCAAAATATTAATTTAATTAAACCAAAGAAATTTTAAAACCCAAGTTTGAAAATAAATTTGACGGTAGCACTAAGGGCGGAAAAATTTGTCGTATGACACAACAACACACTGCTGACAAGAAATTATGGTTGCATTTCTTTCAAGAGAGTCTGTCTGGAACACAACTGGAATGATATTATCAACTTGAAGGTACCAATATCCATACCTGGGAAGATTTGGCTGTAGCTTTCTATAAACAATATCAATACAATTCTAATTTGGCATCAACCCACATGTAACTATAGAGATTGTCCATGGGTTATGAGGAAGGCTTTAAAGAGTACGCACATAAATGGAGACATATTATAGGAAGTGTTCAACCTCCTTTGGATGATATGGAATTGGTTGACATGTTCACGAGCATGCTAACATGTTCTTTCTATAATCACCTACTTTTCTTCAGGCGGTTTCGCTGAACTGATATTAACAGGAGAACATGTTAAGAATGGAATCAGAAGCAGTAAAATTCAGATGGATACATCTTCGAACATTGTGAAGAAACCTTGTAATGGTAAGAAATAATACAATACTATATACAACTATAAGGGTCGTAATAAGAGTGACCACAACCAATCTGTGGGAGTAGTTCTAGTCTCTAATCCTGCGCCAACGCAACATCAACAACAGAATAATCAATGTAGGCAAGATGCACCCAGGAGATAGTTCACAAGAATCAACATGCTGTTGTCTCAAGCATTGCAACACATGTTAAAGGCGAGACTGATCACATTGAAGGACCCTCTTCAGAATCCTAATACTTCCTCTCCCTGTTACAATCCTAACACAAGGTGTGTGTATCACTCCAATAGTCCCGAACATGACACTAACAATTGTTGGGCTCTGAAGAATAAGATCCAAGACATGATTGATGCTAAGGAGATTGAATTTGATCCTCTAAAACTCCTAATGTGATCATTGCACCTATGCTTAATCATGAAAAGAACGTTAACACCGTAGAAGACGTTGATAGCGACTATGACATAGAGAGTTGGATTTTCCCTACTATCGGATATGGGATCAACAATTGGAAGGATAAAGACTTTATACCAATATCATTTAGTCAAGAGTAAATTATATTTTATGTTTTCTTGCTTTCAGGTTTTGGTTATATAATTTAAACAATAACTTTAAACCTTGTGCCTTACCCGGGACACAACGGTCCATTTGTTAGGGTTGTCATTTTTCATCCGCATACTTTCATTTAATAAATCATTGGACATTTACATTCAAATTTTGCACTCTTTGTCTTTATTTTACTACATTGCTTTCAAAATAGCTATGTGTTCTTACACACACCCACACAACAAATTGCAAATCTATATCCACCCTGGATCCCATTGATAACAATTATGCTATTTCCAATTATGACTTTGGAAATACGATCTACCAAGCCGAGGACGAAGGTGAGGAAGATTGTGAAGTACTTGGAGAGCTTTCTAGGCTGTTAATGCAGGAATAAAGAGCCATACAACCGCATGGAGAACCAGTCGAAGTTGTGAACTTGGGTACTGAAGAGGACAAGAAAGAAGTCAAGATAGGTGCCAACCTAGAAGACAGTGTTAAAAAGAGATTAATCCAGATGTTGCGTGACTATGTTGAGATCTTTGCTTGGTCGTACAAAGACAAGCCTGGGCTTGATACTGACATTGTGGTTCACCGTCTATCAATGAAGGAAGGTTGTCCTCCTATAAAACAGAAGGTTCAAAGCAGGTTTATGAATCAATTCAATGCAGGTTTCTTAGCTGTTAAGTCTTATCCCTAGTGGGTTGCCAATGTGCTGCCAGTACCTAAGAAGGATGACAAGGTGCGTATGTGTATAGACTAGAGGGATTTGAATAAGGCAAGCCCTAAAGATGAGTTTTCGCTTCCATATATTGATGTTCTGGTTGACAACACCGCTCATCATAAAGTATTTTCCTTTATGGATGGTTTCTCTGGTTATAATCAAATCAAGATGGTACCTGAAGACATGGATAATACTACCTTTGGTACACAGTGGGGAACTTTCTGCTATAAAGTTATGCCCTTTGGTTTGAAGAACGCCAGCGCAACATATCAGCGTGCTATGGTAGCTTTGTTCCATGACATGATCCATCATGAGATAGAGGTTTACATTGATGACATGATAGCCAGGTCTCAGACTGAAGAAGAACATCTCGGCCACCTGCACAAGCTGTTTGAGAGGTTGAAGAAATACAAGTTAAGATTAAATCCAAACAAGTGCACCTTTGGGGTAAGATCCGGTAAACTCCTAGGTTTCGTCGTTAATGGTAAAGGTATTGAAGTTGGTCCTACCAAGGTTAAAGCCATTCAAGAAATTCCAGCTCCCCGTACTGAGAAGGAAGTCAGAGGTTTCCTAGGACGATTGAACTAAATTGCCAGATTTATTTCCCATTTGACCGCTAATTGTGAGCCAATCTTCAAGTTATTAAAGAAAGATCAAGTAGTGAGGTGGAATGATGATTTCCAGATAGCCTTCGAAAAAATTAAGGAGTACCTCTAGGAACCTCCAATTCTGATGCCACCGGTTGAAGGAAAACCTCTGATCATGTACCTGTCAATATTAGAGAACTCAATGGGGAGTGTATTAGGGAAACATGACGAGTCTGGTTGAAAAGAGCATGAAATATACTATCTTAGCAAAAATTTTACTATATGTGAAACAAGATACTCATTGCTCGAGAAAAATTCCCGTGCTTTGGCATGGGCTGCTCGCCGACTAAGATAGTAAATGTTGACTCATACTACTTTGTTGATCTCTAAGACGGATCCAAAAAAATATATATTCTAGAAACCCGCTCTCTTCGGAAGAATAGAAAGATGGCTACCAATCTTAATAATGCTATGATCACGGAATTCTGCATGCAGTTCAGGATTAAGCATCACAATTCTTGTCTATACCGACCAAAGATGAATGGTGCAGTTGAAGCCACCAACAAGAATATCAAGAAAATATTTCAGAAGATGACAGTGGCATACAAAGATTGGCATAAGATCTTACCATTTTCTCTTCATGGTTATCGCAATTCAGCACGTACATCAACTAGAGCAACCTCGTTCTCTCTAGTCTATAGTATGAAGGCTTTCTTACTTGTTGAAGTCCAGATTCCTTCCCTAAGGATTATGAGAGACGTAGGTTTATATGAAGACGAATGGACTCAGAATCGACTAGACCAAATAAATTTGATCGATGAAAAAAGGCTTGCAGTTGTTTATCATGATCAGATGTATCAAAAACGTATGATCAAAGCCTTTAATAGGAAATTCAAACGTCGAGTATACACGGATGGTGATTTGATAATAAAGCGCATTATCCTACCACAAGGTGATCCCAAGGGCAAATGGACTCCCACATACGAAAGGCCATTTGTGATCAAAAAGATATTTTCTGGTGGTGCTATGATACTTACTACCATGGACGGTGAATATTTCCCACACCTTGTGAACACAGACGTAGTCAAAAAATACTACGCATAAAATAGACTCGCTAGGTTGACATGCCTAGGAAAAATTAAGGGAATTTTGGCGAACCAAAAGGGTTCGGGCAAAAATTAGGGATATATATAAAAAAATTGCACATCCGCGACAAGTCGATAACCTGAAAAGGCGGCTTAGGCAAAAAAGGATATCCTGATAGACTAAAAACCCGAAAGAGCGGTCCAAGAAAAATTTAGGGATTAAAGCGTACAACTATTCCCATTGGATGACCCATCTACTTACAACCAACTTCATTACTAGCGTCAAGTTCAAACGGTACATACAAATTCAATCATTTTCTTCCAACAACAAGTGATGAGATTCTTGAAGACATAGGGGCAATAATAGAGTTGAAACTTGATAGGATCGTTTCCACATTTTTGTTTTTCCTTGTGTTTCTTTGTACCATTTCTTCATTCTTACAAAGATTTCCTCTTACTAGGATTTATGTCTCTTTGTATAAAACTGTCTGCTTAGATTT